TCCTACAGTGCCGCAACACAACCCCATCTATATAAATACACACATATATGGAACACTAACACACACACACAAACTTGATAATTTTGGTGATTTCCCACCTTCTATTTCTGTCTTGAAAGTGCAAATGATTGTTACACACTTGACTGCTAACTTAAAGGTCTGAAGTTCAAGTCCACCCAGAGGCACCTCAGAAGAAAGTCCTGGCAGTGTACTTCACAAAAATATCAGCCATTAAAAACTCTCTGAAGAACAATTCTACTCTTGACAACAATGGACACAAACAGTGTCACCATGAGTCAGAATCTACTTGACAGCAACTGGTTTGGTGTTGTCTGGTATTGCTCTTTGGACTTACAAAAAGCAAAGGAATTGTATGATCTGGAGGTCTGCCATGGGTTAGAAAGTTAAAGTTTTTACATGGCTTTTTGAAATTCAATCTTATGGACCCTAGTACTTCCTCTGTGAACCATTCATTGGCATTCACAGGTCTAAAATGTTGAACTCCAGCATAATGATTGAAGAGGAGCCAAGACAGGTCCTTATGGAAATCACCTCTGGCCAGAAGCAACAGGCTGATACAACATTCAGAGGTCTTGTTTATTTGTTTCTAAAATGAAATCAACCTGGATGGCTGATACTTTTAAATATGGGTCCAAAATACACTCTGTACCCTTGGGCTGGAATCTATTCCAAATTAAAAACGTACCCAGGTTTAAATAGAAGCAGTAAGTCTGGAAATTCCATCTCATTTCCCTATCTTTGGCACCATGGAATAGTGCTTGCTCTAGCAGAATTTTTTTGGGTGTAAGTGCTCATGCAGACAGTTCCAAACTGCGAACAGCGACAGAATAAAGAATAAAGGAAAGGCAAACAGGGCAGATTAGAGGCATGCCTTTCACATATGGCAAGTGCCTGATAGCCTTGAACCAAGGCAAAGCCTGAGTTTCCTGGCACAAACTAAAAAAGAAGAAAAAAAAAAATTCATAGAACTCATGGAAAATATAAACCGAATTAGGAGCATTTGGTATATTTGGTTGACCTTGAAGATGAAGTCACTGTATACTTTGAGAAATAGTTTCTACTTCTTTTTATTGCTTTCAGTCCTTTGCTTGATCATTTACTTAAAGTTTGTCCTACTATAAAAGTTTGTTTTCCTGCCTTTTGCCTCCCCTGCCAAAAATCTGTATCAATTAGTAATGATTGTAGGAGTAGGCATAGTCAGGGAAGAAAGTACTATAGCAGGAAATGTAAGAAGGAAGGAAATGTGGACAAGACACTAAATGTACTTATAATCACTGAAAAATACATTAGCCTTTTATGTTTCCATGTTCCCTATAATCTACTCTTAGTTTAAATCTTGGGTTGTCCTAGCCTCTTAACATACCTGGTGTGGTGCTGTAGGATCAGCACTGGACTGAGAACCACAGGCTGGCAGTTGAAACTCACCAGTTGTTTTTTGGAAACCCTATACAGGGTCACTATGAATTGGAATTGATTTGATGACACTTAATAACAACAATACCTATGGAATTCAAGGAGACAGTTTTGATGCTCTGGGAGAGGTTTTAACCATTACTGCTGTTGTTCTTGTTTTCTGTAGAGTTGATAGTGACTCACGGTGACCCCAGGTATGCAGAATAGAACTGCTCCATAGGGTTTTCGGGAAGCAGATTGCCTGGTCTGTCTTTCAATGCACTTCTGGGTGGGTTTAAGCTGACAACCTTTTGCCTATTATTTGACTGCTTAGGCGTTTGCCCTGTCTTGTGAACTTAACCATTCCTATCATTGATTATTTGATTCAAGTCTGTCTCTATGAAGCCAAAACCTTTGCCTCTTTTTTCTTCTGTCAGTGCCTGGCACATGCAATATGCCCATTAAGTAATTTTTTAAGCAGGTTGGTGGGCGAAGGGTGGGAGATGGAAAGGATTAAGTTCAAACTCATTAACATGACATATTAGAGAGGACCCCAGCTTTCTTACCAGCAACACCGCAATCTGAAACCTTGCCTTACACTAACACGGTGTCACACCTCGATGACGGTAACACACTGCTGGATGTCTCCTCCTCCTTCTCATTCACTTGGCTAAATCTTATATGTCATTTAAAAATTCTTTTCCAGGGCTGAGATTTCTAAGTTGGGGTTAATTACTTTTCCCTTTATATTACCTGTTCCTTATATGCATACATGTCAACTTGACTTTTCATTTACTTTTTATATTTCACTACCAGAGGCTCCAGTTTGTAGCTTACAGATGAGCTCCTCATAGGCAAAGACAATGTCTTCCACATCTTTGCATTTTTCTAGCAGAGTGCTCCACAGCAGACACTCATTTAACAAGCACACATTCATTTTTCACACTGAGCTCTGTTCTAGACAGTGAGGACACAGTAGATAACAAAACAGATACAAATCCCTGTCTTCATGAAATTTACATTATAGTTGTGGGAGTTTTACAACAAACAAAACTAATAAGCAAAAGACACTCAAGTGTTATTGGAAAAAAAAAAAATCAGGGAAATCACACAGAGAGAAAGTATGTGTGTGTGCATGTCAACATATTACTTGTATGTATTTGCACACAGACCAATGAGACTTTCTGAAGGACAAGTGTTTCCTAGCAGAGAGGACTGCAAGTGCAAAAACACTGAGGTGGCCATGAACTTGGCTATCTGGAACAACTACAAAACAAGGAAGGAAGTGTGGCTGGAAAATAATGAATAAGAGGGAGAGCTGTTGTTAGGTGCCATTAAGTTGGTTCCAACTCATAGAAACCCCACATAACAGTAGAAATACCAAGAAGGTTCCTCTAGGCTGTAATCCTTTCATTATTGATTGCCAGGTCTTTGTTTGTCAAGGAGCTTCTGGTGGATTTAGACTGTCAACCTCTAGGTTAGCAGTCTAGTGCTTAATCACTATGCCATCAAGGTTCCATAAGAACAAACATTTTAGAAGGTAAAGACTAAAGTATGGAGCATGCAAGAGTTCAAACCATGGGTCTTACAGCCACTATAAGGTCTTTGGTTTTTACTCTGAAACAAGAAGTTATTGGAGGTTCTGAGGAAAGAAATAAGATCCAGCTCACAGTGTAATAACAGAAGCATCTAGGCTGCTGAACTGAGAAGAGATTCTAAGGAAAAAAATGACAGAACAAGGCAAACTATTGAACTAATTGAAGGAAAAGAAGACAGTGTCAGAGACCAAAAGGAGAGCAGAGGATATGTGAGAAATGATTACATTTTCAAATATTCTAAAAATAGAGACAATAGTATTTGGATGTGGGACAATAGCGAAAAAGGATCCAGGACGATTGAAACATTTGATTCTGAAGGATATTTAGGGGCTGAGAAATAAACCATTCACTGAGATAGGGAAGACAGTGGGAGGAGCAGGATTTGGGGGAAATTTAGAAGTTATTTGTTAGGTTTGAGAAATGTCTATTCAACGTTTTCTTGGTAATAATGAATTGGCAGTTGGGCATATGGGTTTGGAATTCAGAAGAAATCAGCATATGAAAAGTAATACTGAATGAAATCACCAAAGGAGTGAGCAGGCATAGACAGGGGAGAAAGATTAAAAGACTACACCCTGTGCTCTCTAAGATGTCTAACAGATGAGCAAGAACCAGCAAAGGAGACAAAGAAGTAGTAGTAGTTGTTGTTAGTGCCTTGAGTCTGTTCCAACTCATCGTGACCCTGTATGAGGTTTCCGAGGAGTGCATGGTAAATATGAACTGTCAACCTTGTGATTCAAACCAACCTGTGGTCTAATGCATTATTCCACAGCGCCACACCAGGACTCCAATGGGTAGTTAGGTGACATATAAAGATAACCAGGAAATTGTGGGTTTCCAGAAGACTAGCAAATAAGGCATTTCAAAGATGATCAACTAGTGCCGATGGTCTGTGAGTAAGTTGAGGACTGATAAGTCACCCCTGGATTTAGTGATATGATCTTGACATGGCTACTTTGGATGAGGGCTAGGAGTAAAAATTTGAGTGGAGTTCAAGAGATTGAGATGAGAGAAACTATATACAACTCTTTGAAGGAGCTTTACTGTAAAGAAAAGAAGAAAAATGGGACAATCGCTAGAAGGAAATATGGGGTTGAGTTTGTTTTTTTGTTTTTAAGGAAGTCAGGACTGTGTTCTTTTTTTAAAGCTGATGAAGACTTTACAATGGAGGTGGGGCTTTTTAAGGAGAGAAGGAAGGATGATTACAGGGATTGAGTGGGTTGAGGATGGGGAAAGGGACCTAATGTGGATGGGGGGCTTTGACTATTTCTAAGGACCTAGAAGTAGAAGAAAAAAACATACAAGTGGGGATAGGCATCATGGTGGAAAGCTCTGGAAGTTCTTCTCTGCTTGCTTCTAGTAGCTCAATGTTATAGAAAGCAAATTTTTCAGGAGTGAGATGAGGAGAAGGGAGTGTGAAAGGTTTGAGGTGGTATGAGAAAACCATTTAAAAGAGTTGAAAAATGAATGGAAAGGGGATATTTCATATGAGAGCTAGTCCATTTGGTCATGACTTAAGGAGCTCTGGTGACGCTAAGGGTTAGGTATTAGGCTTCTAAGCACAGAGTTGGTAGTTCAAACCCAACAACTGCTCCATGGGAGAAAGATGAGGCTTTCTGTCCCATAAAGAGTTACAGTTACAGTCTTATAAACCCTATGTAGGGTAGCTATGAGCTAAAATCAACTCGATGGCAGTGGGTTGTTTTTTTGGGGGGGGTACAGGGTGAGACTAGTCAGCACAACTCTGGACAAATTAGGTTATAGATACAGATGCAGGAAAAGAGTGAGCTGGTCTATCCGAGGCTGAGGATGAAACAAGCAAACGTGAGAAATAGTCAATAAATCTGGATGAACTGAGTGAAAGTCAATTCCAGTCACCATATACATTTTAAAGGGTAGTTGTCTCTAGAGAATCACATGCCTGTCCCACTAGAATTTTGTCATCTTCAAGACAAAAGCCATAGAATCCAGTATTCTGAAAATACTTACCGCCCTTCAAATCTGTGTTTTAAAAAATCAAACAGTGCTTTTTGCATCATATCCGTGACCTGAAATAGAGCAAGCAATAAATTGAAATATGATTGAAAAAAAGAACTACGCATCATGAGCAAAACAATTTCATTGCTACGAGGAATGCTTGAAAACTTGGGATTCATGTTTGGAAAAAGTAGCATTGTTCTGTTTCCAATTTCCGATTTCAATAAAAGAAAAAAACCCCCAAAGTTTAAGTTCTCTGAATGTATGACGCTGCTTAGTGACAATCACATTCCTAGTGGCTTTTGTACTATTTGTTACTATTTCTCTAATCTTTTAAGTTGTAGCTAGCAGGAACCTCCATAGTAGGAACACAAAACACAACACTAAGTAACATACACTCCAGCTTGAAAAGTAACACGTGCTGCTACAAGCTCGGTAAATTCTAAGCTCAACAGTTGGGAGATGGAGGTGGAGTTACCCAGTTCAGCATGAGAAGGTAAAGTGTAAAGTGTGCTAAAAGGGCAGCTACTCACCTCATAGCCCTTCAAGGAAGGGCCCACTAGAACCACAGGTCTCATAGAAGGCACCACATCATAGGGAGGAGTGTGCTCTGTCTGCAGAAAGGGGAGAGGCCCATCAGACATTCAATAGGCAGAGGGAAGTGAGCAGGTCTAGACTCTTAATTCAGAACTCGGTGATACAAGGTATTGGCTTTCCAGACTTATTTTTTATTTTATTTTTTTAAATTTTAGCTTGCCTGTTTTCTAAATAAACCCAAAGATTGGTGGGCTTGTTTTCCTATTATTTTCAAATTCAAGAGTTGTGTACAGTTTTCTAGCCCTCCTCAAGATGCTGTAGCTCTGAAAGCAAGAGGTGCTGCTTTTGAACAAAAAGTGGCTGGTATAACAGACAGAAAGAAATCTCATGCAGAATCGGTGCTTTACACTGGACAACAAGTGAATATTGCTTTTCAGACTCATTTGAGTTTTCTGAGGAGTCAAAATCATCAGCCCTAGAATGCTTGTCTAAAGAGAAAAGAAAGATTTTTATTCACCACCTATGCATCTTAAGTGTTTGGCTTACCTGCATAAAACCTAAATCAAAGAATTGAAATCTCACTACAAAGACATGATGAATTTGATTTTACTCTGAGAGACTAATATATAATAGATTTAAGTCAGCAAGAATGCTTGTTTCAGTAAACTTTAACCATAATCACTCTTCATATCTTAGTGATTAATGCTTTGAGATTTTTGGTTTCTATACTTAGTACTTACACACTTAAAAATTAACATTTAAGTGTCTAAGAGGGAGGGTAGTTAATGTCTGATACTATAGTCAATCCGTCCTTGCTACGAACTTTCTTATCTAATATGCTTCCCAACAGAAGTGCAGATAGTGTTTCTGTTCCATAAATAATTCAAGCCTTTCTGCAATCATGCCTTTCTTTTTTGGAAAAGCAGAAGGAGGAGCTAAATTTTGTAGTGGTTTTAAAAAATATTTCAAAACCTTTCAAATTAACTGCTTCAAATGATATCAAACATTAAGAATTTTCAAAAAATATTACACAACAGCGAATTTGCTTGATATATTACCATCAGCTATTCTAATAGCACAGAATGCTAACTGGACCCCCAAATGGACTTTTAAAAAAATACAGACACTGGGACAATCTAGATCACTGTTATCTGGGTATTTATACATTAAAGAGTTATCTGAAATAATACATATTTTAAAAATCACTCAGACTTCCCAAAATGTTCTTTAAACTATTATAATACGACAAACTGATGTGCAAATGTAGATATAATTTTTGCATCTGCCTCCTGCAAAAGAGCGCAAAATTGCTCATTGCAAACTTTTTGGCTTTGTTTGATTTTAAGTAGTGTCAGGGGGGAATTAAAAAGCATTTCAATTTCAAAAGCTTCCGTTTGAGATTTCACCAACAGCCAGAGACAATATAACCAAAGGGTAGAAAATACTATTGTGATTGTGTTGTCTAATTTTCCTGCTTAAAAGTTTACCTGGTGTTCAAAATTTTAACAGACACGAAAAAGGTAGAATATATGCTTTCAACAGAAAAAACCAAAAAACAAAAAGACACACAAATACAGTGACAGCACAAATGCCACACAAGCACCACTCTAAAGCAATCTAAAACATGAAAAACGATCTTATCACTGAATCTCAGGTTATTGTTTTGTTTGCAACCTCTATGTTGACGTTTACCACATAACTGATAACATAAGAAAACTGAATACCAGTGCCGGAGGCATCATAAGCATATTTATTAAAATATTATATTCATACCACCTGGGATCATTCTGAAAATAAGTCCTTATAAATATGCAGCATTAAAAATACCCTTTCCTCCATTGTACTTAAGAAAGTAAATAGTTTGATGCATGCGTTTTAGTAATAGCTAATAGGAAATTTTATTTTAGGTCATTATTGAGTGGTTCAGTATTGGATAGGCCTTTGATTCCTTCAATCTGTTAATGTCAGACTATTGCAAAGTATTAACCATGCTGGAAATCAACCACCTTCTTAAGCTACAGAAATTACCTTATTTGATGGAATATTGGTACTTTGTGCTCTATTTGACACTGATACAATCATTTTGATCTACCCTTTCCTGCTAAACCTACACTATTACAATCGTTTAGTTAAAAAAAAAGTTGCAATCAAATTGGAGGAGTAAGCAAATTTCAAAAAACTATCTTGAATATACGCTATGGTTTCAGTTCATGTGTTTATGCAAGACCAGAGATGCTTAGCAATGCTTATTTTCTAAGCTTCTCAACATTGATTACTGTTGATAACTTTACTGAAAATTTTAGTTGTGACAAGAAGATGGGGTCAGAAAAACAATCCCACTGTAATGGATGTCCATCAAATCCAGACTTTCTGTGTTATGACAAAAAGTCAGGTGTTTTAGAATTTGCCTGGATTGCTGAAGTCTTCCATTTTGAAAAAACAGTAACAAGAATAAAGTTACTGTTCAGTATCTGACATTTCATTAATGATTTTAGAGTTCTCCCATAGAGCAAAATATTAATTTGCAGAGGAAAAGAGTTCAGTATGTTTAGTTTAGGGAAGAGTGTAGCTATTGCAACTAGCTGTCAGAATATGCCCACGTCTGTGCCAGGTTTAGTACCATTAGAAAGTATAACCATAAAACAATGTTCACTAACTGTGGAAGGTGATGTGTCAAAGAAAGGAAGACATGGAAATTGGGAAGTTCCTTAAAAATAATGTTCTGAATCTATAAAACATGCTGAGAGGAAATAGACTTTGGTCTGGAGTAAAGAGACCTCAGGGATATCCTATATGTTTCCAGTCAGGGGACAAGTAGTAGCATCCCTAATGCAGCATCTTGGCTGGCCAGTGGCAAAGGCTCTACGTATGACCACCAGTCCCTTTACACAAGAGGTGAGATGCTGATGTCTGACTGATGGAGGAGGCAAGAACATTGGGAGAGTATTTATATATGACAATAGGAAAAACTCACAGTAAACCGCCAAAACAAGCCTGCAGTTTTCCACTGGTCTTGTTCATCTGTAGATTTTGCACCTAGTGGATTAGAAGTTTAAATACTGACTAAATTAAAAATTGAATTTTTTTTTTTTAGTACAAGCTATGTATCTGGATATCATAAATCAGCATCTAATAATTGTTCTAATATGCTTGATTAAAAGTTAAAAATTGGGAAAGAAGAAAGAGACAAAGACAGAATAAGCATGCACAATAGAGGTGCATTAGATGGAGTTGTCTGTGTTCGATATCCTTAAATGTTTTCACAAATTCCCTTGGTGGTATATAGTATTCCATCAAAAAGGATAAGTACTGTAATAGTGTTTTAACAGGTCACTCACTGAATTTTGTTGGTTTGAAATGCATGGACTCAATGAGCTGTTTGAGAAATTCTCTTCTTAGAGCAGAAATGATGGTATTTTATAAAACTGTGGAGATTGATGCTAATGATGCCAGTGGCAGGAAAAACATGGCTTCCGCCAATGTAAACTTACCGATTTCTGCTTCTGCTTAGCTACAGCAGCATGGAAAAGAAACAAAGAATAACAGAGCATGCACGTTATTGGCTTGTCAAAGGACGCAGACAGTCAACAGGACTAGACATGTGACACAGTGCAGTTGAGCAGGTGGACAGATGGGAGCTTGGAAGTTAATGTTACCTTCTTAAAGAAGGGCATTCTTTTCTCTTTGGAGTGGGGTGACGTTACACTGTTTGCACTGGGTTTAGGGGAGCGGTGGTTTGCTGGAATGTCATTGTCTTCTGCATCTAAGCCAGTAGCATCTATGTCTATAGCTATATACAGACAAGTCAAAAACCGTCAGGGGACAGGAGAGGAAAAACAGGTTATAAAGGAAATAAAATGAAATCAAACCAAACTAACCATTGTAAAAAAAAAAAAAAAATCCATCATGAGTGTTCAACGTGGTACATAAACAAAGTAAAATTTAAAAGCAAAACACATTAAAACTACAATGTAATCAAATCGAACAAAGCAAACGATACCCTCAGAATACTTGTTTGCTTGGATAAATCAGCTTTATGATACATCTTTTCAACGATAAATTTTGAGAAGCCTGTTTTTCATTGGGTGTTTCAAATATAATTTTGATTGTTCTGTTCCAACTGTGTAAGAGTTCAATACAATTTTAGGATTTACAATGGATTTAAACCAGCTTTTAGATAATAAGCAGCTTCAGGGAAACCTTTATCATGATGTGTTTGAGATGTTTCATCTTGCTTATTTTTGAGTGAAAGTAAGGACAATGTGAAAAGGGTCACTAAAAATGTAACAGGAATTTGAAGGAAACAGTATAGAAATTTCTAGATGCAGCTAACACAGAGGAATCATATACAGAAAGGCAAATGATTCAAGGAGGGTGTTGGGACAGATGGGATAGAAATGATTCCAAGATGATACGTGCTCCTTTAGGCAAAACTTAATGAAGATTAATAGGAGACTATTATACTCACTGATATCCAAATGAAATTAGTCTAAGTAAAATGACAGAATAAGTCACTATCTGATTCATAGCCAGCCACTGGCTTTCATATGACAGAGTGGGTGGGGGACTAAGTCCCATGTGGATATACCACTGATGTCTTTATCTGTACAACAATAGTGGGTCTGGGCTTATTGCACAATTACCTTCACCTTTAAATCTTCTGAGCTGAAAATATGAGGATAGCACTTGAAAATTAGATTTTAAATGGAGAAAGAAGGTTCAGAATCGCTCTTCAGTTTATAAAGTGCATCCACATGCATTTATTACAGAAGTTCATTTCCTGTGAAATCAGAGCTGAAAAGTATTTTAATAATTAACTTCAACTCTCTTATTTTAAGATATAAAAGATGAATTCTTAGAGGGTTCTGGGACTTGTTCTTGTTAAACAATTGGTCTCCTTATCGCTTCTCCCTGTACGATGCAGCCTCTCCAGGTGGGGTCCCTTCTCATTCTAGAAGTATTCTTTCAGTTCCCTTTGCTTCCCAAATGGGCTCATGTCTTCAGAGTCAGGAGCCTTGATGATGTTCTGGGATAAGCGTTGGGCTCCTAACTGCAAGGTCAGTGGCTCAAACCCACTAGTCACTCATTGGAAGAAAGGTAAGGCTGTCTGCTTCCATAAGATTTAGCCCCGGAAGCCATGTCTGGAGTTGCTATGAGTTGGAATACACTCAGGCAGTTCGTTTGGTTTTGGTTTGGGGGTCCCAATAATAAGATTCTACAGTTCACATTAAGTCAAATAGAAGGAAAGATGAAAATTGACTCACCACAGGAAAGCAACATGTTATACATGCTAACTTTCTAACAAAACCCATAGTACATTCAAGCTTAAGGAACAAATGGCCCTTTTGAAGTAACAGTTTGGTTATTGAAACACAGCTATTATTCCTAGGGATGTATAAGCTTCATTGGTGCTCACAACAGCCATTTCTAACCTTTTCAAGTGATGGGAGATCAGATGACAGGTATCATATCATTAATCAATTTTGAAATGATTTTTGATACTAGCCTTTTGAAATCTAGGATCACTTATTTGTTTCTTTTCATTTGATTAGTTAGAAAGAAAACCTGTCATAGAGTGAATACTTGGCACTGTTTGAATAATATTGTAAATATCAGCAAATTGCTTGCATAATAGATGAGGCCTGATTTTCCCTCAAATGAAGGCTATAATGGACTGAATAATTTCAGGTATTTAGATAGACTTAGCGCTTCAAGCTCACCAGCTGCTCCCCGGAAGCCCTGTACAGGGTCGCTGTGGGTTGGAACCGACTCGATGGCACTTAACAACAACAACCCAGTAAATAAAAGGAACTCTGGTAGCGCAGCAGTTACGAGTCAGGCTGCTAACCTCAAGATCAGCTACTGAGAAACTACCAGTGGTTCCACGGGAGAAAGATGAAGCTTTCTGCTCCCGTAAAGATTTACAGCCTTGGAAACCCTATGCAGGGTCACTATGACTTGGAACTGACTCCACAGCATATAACTACCACCACCACCTAGTAAATATATCTTCCTCTTTGCTCCATCTATGCATATTGTTGAATATGAGGTTCAATTTTTATACTTCCCTTTAGGAACTGACTCAAGAACAATGAACACTATAGGATAGCCCAGAATCCTGGTGTGGTGCTGTAGGATAAGCATTGGACTGCTAACCACAAGGTCAGTAGTTCACACCCACCAGTCACTCCTCAGAAATCCTACACAAGGTCCCTATGAGTCAGGACCACTTGAAGGCAATTACCAACAATATAGCAAGAGCCCAGGTGTGGCGATGTAAGATAAACGTTGGACTGGCAATCTCAAGGTTGGTAGTTTAAACCCACCAACCACTCTTGCGACCCTATACAGGGTTGCTAGGAGTTGGGACTGACTAGACAGCACACAACAGTAAGATAGTCTAAGGAGTCCTGGTGTCACTGTAGGATAAGCATTGGACTGCTCATCAAACTGCTGGCTGATGGTTCAAACCCATCAGCAGCTCCTCAGGAGAAAGATGAGGCTTCCTGCTCCTGCAAAGAGTTACTGCCTCAGAAATGCTATAGGATCGCTATGAGTTAGAATTGTACAGGATAGCTTTTGTACGGGGTTGTCAAAACAACATAAGGGTCTGAAAAAAAAGTCTTGAGGAAAGTTTTTCCTTGAATCGCAACTTAGAAATCATGTCATTAGTGTCTTCCTAGATACGAAGGAGAGGGTCTAGGTCAGTATTTCAGATAAGATTGGGCACATTGAGGGAGGTATGGTGGTATACCTGGGTCAGTATTTTACGATCCTTGCAATATGACTGAACATGAAATAAGATTTAATGGTTGGTAAATTCCTATATACTTTATCTCTTTCATTTTTTTCTTGGACTCATAGAGGCTATATTCAGGGGACAGTAACTGAGCCTTTCTGAAACTGACGATACCTAGATAGGAGTCCTGGTGTGGTGCTGTACTGAAAGCAGTGGACCGCAAGGTCAGTTTGAACTCCAATGTCAGTGGTTCGGGCTCACCAGCCACTTCTCAGAAACCCTGCACAGGGTTGCTAGGAGTTGGAATTGACTGGATAGCACTCCACAACAACAACAACAGACTGACACAGTGGCTGCAAAAATGGGCTCAAGCATCGGAACACCAGCAAGGATGGTGCAGGACTGAGCAGTGTATCAATCTGGGCACACAGGATCGCTATGATTCATAATCAACTCGATGGTACCCAACAACAACAAGTGTCAAATGTCAGAGTCCCTGGGTGTGTCAATGGTTAATAGGCTCAGCTGCTAATTGAAAGGTTTGAGATTTGAGTTCACCTAGGATCAGGCAGTGTTTTCTTCTTCTGTGCATAGGGTCGCTGTGGGTCAGTACCAACTCGATGGAACCTAACAACAACAACAACAACAAAGGTGCTTCCAAAGAAAGGTCTGGCAATCTATTTCTAAAAAATGAGCCATTGAAAACCCTATGAAGTATAGTTTTACTCTATGCATACAGGACGTTATCATGAGTCAAAGGCAACTCTATGGAAGCTCTTATTTTGCTTGGATGTCAAAACTAACAGAACCCTGGGGTGGCAAAGGTTATGAGCTGTATTTTATGATTTGTTCCCCGAATTGGGCCCTGCTATCATCATTAGCATAGTGGTTACGAATTTGGCTGCTAACCTCAGGGTCAGCAGTTCGAAACTACCAGCTGTTCCACAGGAGAAAGATGAGGCTTTCTGCACCTGTAAAGATTTACAGCCTCAGAAACCCTGTACAGGGTCTCTATGAGTCAGAACCGCCTCCACGGCACACAACAACAACAACATCATCATTGTATATATATATATTTTTTGAGAAACATAAAATGTCCAGCTCTGACATTACACAGGTAGACTGTGAATCAGGTTTGAAATGTACCTGGATTCAGACACATGGACTCTAAACTTCAAATTAAAAACCTCCCACTTTATTCTGTTTGACTTCAACACAGTGGCTATAGTGGTTACCTTAGCCTAAAGGCATCTGGGAGTCCTGGTGTGGTGCTGTGGGTTAATGCACCAGATGGCAAAGCCATTTCAACTGCAAGGTCGGCAGTTCAAGCTCACCAGCGGCTCCTCGGAAACTCTATACAGGGTCGCTGTGTATCAGAACTGACTTGATGGCACTTCACAACAACAACAAAGGCACCTGGGGGTTCATGCTGAAACACAGACAACTCTAAAATATTTGCACACTTTTCACTTTTAGATTACATTCAAGAAATCTAAGACAGTTGTGAAACCTTTCAACTCTTTTCAAAGTTCCACATACTTAATTAGATTCAGATGGTTCTCTTATCCTGAATTTAAAAAATTTTGTACTTGTATTTGCATACCTTGGTAAACATTACTACTTACCTAAGAAAAATTGCTTCTACATAGTAATTTTTTTGTTTTGTTTTGTTTTTCCCATTTGTCCTCACTAACATGTGTGGTAGACAGTTCGGGAACATGTTCAGAACTTTTTATTTTAGTTAAAGCTGACACAATTGAGTCAGGTTGAACAGTGGACTACAGAGGCTACGTGTGTGCCCACCTATGGAGAGGCTGTGTGATTGCGTAAGTAGCTATCACTGCCCCATTGCACAGATGTGAAGTGATGCTGTGTTTTTCCTTTCACAAACCCTTGAAAACATCCAAATAAATTAGTCTTAGGCAGAATCCTATTTGCTTCAATCTAGTAACAGGTGGAGAGAATTGTAGATAGGGTCTATGAGAAACAACAGTAAGATGAAAATTACCATTGCAGACCAATCAAAATTTCATCAGTTGGACAGTTTTCCA